TTAATTTCGAAAATGGCGCAAAACAATTAATAATTATAGCATCGGGTTCTCCTTAATAAAGTGGAGAACTGCTTTTAAAAAAGAATCAAGCGATTGATCAAAGATGTCGAAAGTTGTTGAATTATAATTATATATGCTATTGAGCTCATTGCACATACTTAATACTGGCGTTGTTCTATTTACATTTCTTAATCCCGTATAAAATGGATAAGACCCTCGCGAGAAGAACTGAGGAACAGCAATAGGAATCTCCGATAACAAATATGAGCTATTAATTAAACCGTTAATAATTTTGAATAAAAACAACACTGTATCAATTGTTCTTCGAGATTCAAGAGACTTTTCATTAAAACGTTGACACAATTGTGCATAGTCTGATCCAGGGGGTATCCATATGCCGTGTTTTTTGTAGTGTAAAAACTTTAAAAATCGTTTTTGACATTTGTCAATGGCACTCGATAAGTAGGCAGGTAAATAATTACGAAATACTACTGAACAAAAAGCTAATTTGGACCGAACTAAAGAATAAAACAAAATTTTTAAAGCATATTCATTTTTAAAATGTTTACAGGTTCTGAATAAGAACCCCAAGATCCTACCAGCTTCACACACGATTGTGTCAACATGAGTGTTAAATTTAAGATTAGGCGTAAAATGAACTCCTAGATCTTTGATGACAAAGACTCTATCTATTGGTTTATCACCAATCTTATATTGAAAATCAATTGCTGTCTTTGCCCTCGTGAAGGTCATTATCTTACATTTCTTAGAATTAACATCGAGTGAAGCCTTTTTACACCAATCATAAAAATTATCAACATCAAGCTGGAGATCTTCACAATCCTTTATACAATTGATAGGTTTAAACAATTTGGCATCATCTGCATATAACAAAAATTCATTCTTCAAAGCAAACTCTAAGTCATTCATATAAATAACATACAGCATGGGCCCAAGATTGGACCCTTGCGGAACTCCAAAGGTAGGCGTAAATTCAAATGACGAGTAACCATTATAATTAACTGTCATGACCCTGTTAGCCAAATAAGAGCACAAAAGTTTAAGAATTTTATCTAGAACCCCAAGTTGTTCCAAATTAAAAATAATTTTTTCATGGCTAACAGTGTCAAAGGCTTTAGATATATCAGTAAATATGACGTCAACTTGTTGATTATATAAAAGAAAAGTTTCTATTTTGTTTAAAAAAGTTAATACATTTGTAACTGTTGAGCGACGTGGTACAAAACCATGCTGATGTAAAGAAAGTGAAGGAGAAAAATAGGACCACAAGATATCCCCAATGACAGATTCAAGTATTTTAGAAAAATTACACAATATTGTGATAGGCCTATAATTCACAACAAGAGATTTGTTACCGTTTTTAAAGACAGGAGTTATCTTTCCTCGCTTCCACATATCCGGAAATACACCTGTAGCTAAGGATAGATTAATTATAATATAAAGTGGTTCAACAAATGCATCACAACATTTGCGAATAAAAAAACTTAATAATCTATCCATACCCGAAGTAAACTTGTTATTTAGGGAACGAATTTTCGATTTAATTACATTGAGACTTATTAGCATTCCATCTCCAAAATGGACAAAATTATCTGAACAAATAGAACTAATATCAAAAGTAGAAGGCTTATATACACCAACAAATAAGTGAGCAAATGCATTAACTATTTCTTGCGGATCAATTATCTCAAGGTCATTATAGTAGACTACAGCAGGAATTCTAGAAGTCTTCTTAGACTTATTGAAGTAAGTCCATATTGAATTTGGATTACCAATAACCTCATTTTCTATACTTTTAAGATATACATTATACTGTTTGTGTAATTCATTTTTTATGTTTCGTCTAAGATTTTTGTAAATCTAAAGAAAATATTCATTACCTGAGACTTTATATTTTCTTCTAAATTTATTTTTCAATTGAATCTGAGAAACAATGTGCTTGGTGTATCAATGAGGATATAAACCAAAAATAAAAATGCACTTTTCACACAGCCCACTTCAGCATCCAAAATTCTATAAATTATACTATAAAACTTTTCCAAGACTAAATTGACATCTTGAGATTCTCGAAGTTGTGACCAATCGGTGTTTGTTAATAAAATGTATAATTTAGAGCAATCACAATTTTTAAAATTGTACATTGAAATATTTGGATTAAAGTTAAATTTAGTATTTGAACAATCAAAAGGAATAGCAACTTCAAATTTAATGATAAGAGGCGGGTGGTAATTATCAACTGGTAAAAGAGGAAGGTCATTGTCTGTTACTTCGCATGGAAATGAAGATAAAATTAAATCCAAATATCTATCGTTTATATTATTAATATCATTATATTGATGTAAATTGTTCAAAACCATAAAATTATTCAAAATGGATGATTTTCGGTCAGGTTTATTATTGTCAATAAATTGTTTTAAATTAGGAATGTTAAAGTCACCCACAATCAAAACCCTACAGTCCAAACACAATGATGAAGTAGAAATAGAATCCAGAAACTCCTCCAGATGTTCCCAAGGCATATTTGGTGGGATATAAATCGAAAAGATAAGGAAGGTGTTCCCTTCAGAGTAAATTTTAACTGCAACTACGTTAATATTGGGAGCAGAAGCAACAATGCGCGACATATCAATACTAGAAGACTCTAATTTTGACTTCACTGCTATTAACACTCCTCCCCCCCTTCCAGATAATCTGTCATCTCGATACACATTAAACAGATTAGAATCAAAAACTTCGGAACTTTGAACACTAGAATTTAACCACGTTTCTGAAAAAATCAACATATCATAATCAGAAACATCCAATCCAGATCGAAGGAGATTGAGTTTAGTGTTTATACCACGTACATTCTGATAATATATGACGATTTCACTGAGCAAATCCAAGTCAACCACATGCGTACAATTAAAGCTGTGATTCTCTCTCCCCTCTATCAATGTTGATTCTATTTGGTAGAGGGAGCATTCGCCGGTTTCCGCTTCTTCACAATTATAAACTCTCCTCTCACCTCTCTTATCACTAAGTCCAACTCCCTTCTCTTCTGACGGTCTTGAAGTTCCGTGTGTTTCTCCTTCCATATGGTTCTCTGTATTGGGGTCAAATCTCTGACTAGAGATATCCGCGGGTTGTCCAAAACCAAAACTGCTTTCTTTCTCCAGTATGCTCGAAGGGTTTCCCACATGATGTCTTCTTTGTTAAAAGTAATTCGTATAGGACGAGGAGGGGCTGAGTCCTGTGGATGTTTACCAAATCGTGAGCAAACTAAGGAATTTGGATCATGCGACGGATGGAAGCTTTTAATTAAGCTATTTATATAGTTAGAATCTAGCTTATTTAAAGTCTCTTTCGTTTGCTTACCATCATCAGCGATCTCAGTATGCCCAAACAGGATTAGATTTTTATTTCTTTTTAGTCTATCAGATATTTCGGCCACACATTTAGTTGAAATAGCACTTTCAGAGATGGAGTGTAAACTATTATCTGATCTAACATTGTTATCCTGAAATTCTTGGAACCTTACTTCAAGATTATCCACTCTGTCTACAACATCATTTAGTCTGTCAGAATAGACAGACATAACAGACTCCAATTTATCACTAAAAAATTTTTCCGATTCATCCCTGGCCTTATCAAATTTGTCATTTAATAATTGACTAATTTGTTCAATAGTAATGTTACCGGAACCACTAGGTGATAATGACCGAGAATTAGAAGTGTTTACGTGGGAGCAGCATTTTCTTTTTCCCGTTTTTTTACTAACAGCAGCAGTTGCACATGCTGGATGGTAGAAGGTTCCACACGGGCAGGAAAAAGCATCACCCGCAATATTATAATTGCAAACGGTGCACATACGAGAGCTTGACATGTTTCAAGAGAAATCAAAGTTGAAACAAGTGACAGGTTCTAAGATAACACTATACGAGCCTGACACATTGGTCAAGTTATGTAAAGTGGGTAGTAGTTATATACAGAATCAAAAAGTTATTAACAACAAAATAAACACTTAAATATCACATTTAAAGAGTCACAGTTACTCAAATAAGAAAAAAAACAAACACAGAATGTAGATGATGAAAAATTCTGCATAAAAAACACGAAAAATGTCACATTTTCACTTAATCCAATCTGAGAGAACACGAACACGTGCTTTAACTAGCGGCCATATTTAATTTTTTTGAATAATATGTTCTGGTAATATAAAATTTTCATCTGCATCATTTAATTCACCATTGACAACTTTAAGTAAAAAATCTACAAATTCCGTTTCTTGTGGTAAAGCTCTCATGTTATCTGTTTATGTGTATTTTTTAAAATATTTCTATAGTTTACTATTTTTTATTGATAAATTTACTATTTCTGATTTAGTACCCCGTTCTTTAATTGGTAAAGTTTGTCGAAAATCTCCGCCTAGAATTACAATTTTACCACCAAATGGTTCGTTGGAATAGATAATCCATAATTTCTAAAGCATATTTTGGAGCCATTGGTGCTACACCCAAAATAAAAACATCTATATTTTTTAAAAAGAGGCCTTCTAAAGATTGAACTTTAATGTTTGAAGATGAATCACTGTATAATGGAACGGGTAAGCCTAAAACTTTATAAATAGTTTTTCCATTAGGAAGCAGAGTCGCAGCTATACCTGTAAATGCCATGTTGCAAACATTTATTCCTTTACTTCTTAACAATTGCCATAGAACCATCAAAAGAAGAATCCTTTAGAGCATCAAGTACATAATCAACCACAAGTTTTTGTTTTACATTTAATTTAGCATAATTCTGTTCTCCTATGTTAATATGTTCCGCAATATTTATATCATTAACTTGTTCAGTAAAAATTTCATCTTGTAATATCTAATAACCCCTGAAAGTCAGTTTAATTATATCCTTCGTTAAATAACATTGTTTTAATATTTCTACAAGCCCTTTGTTCAGCTTCAATGTCGTTTATTGTTTGATAATCTTCTGACATTTGACCCTTAAATTGTTCCCATATATAGTTCATCCAGATGTACAGGATGACATTGAATTAAAATTCTTGTGAATAATTGGCGAAGTGAATGAGGCATCATCCATAATGCAGCTTCTTTGATTGTCCTAATCCACTCACTATCATCTTCTGCAAGTCCTAATGCCAAACAAGCAGTTGTAAAAGATTCATGAACAACTCCATTAACTGTTATGAAACTTTCAAAAGAAGTTGCTCCTTTTACTGTAAGCAACAATAATCTAAAATGAAATAACTCCAATTGATGTGGATTAACTGAATACATTCTTCCCTATACTTTTACTTTACGAATTCTTTGTTTCCATTCAAGAGATTTTGTTACCCATGTATAATGCTCTGGTATATCTGAATAATAATACTTTTGAGCATTACTATCTGGTTAGTTAAGGATAAAATAATCCAAAAGTTTTGTATTTAAACCGAAAGAAATGCCGTTACTATCTTTTTCTTCTCGAATAATAACATTCTGTTCATTTGGCAAATGTATGGGTAAGTGATTAACGCTATGATTCTTTTTCTTTAAAGGTTTACTTAGAATTCTCCAAACTGCCTCAACTGGACCAACATATCTATTTTCTTCATAATGATGTATTTCATTATGATTAACAGTTACCTCACCATTCGCATTTGTGATAACAATAGATGCATCATCATGCCCTTTGAGAATATATTTATATAAATATTTAACAGACTTGATACTCGAAACTATTTCTACATTTATATAACAATTAAATATTTCTGAAAGTTTAGGGCAATACGGAACAACATTAGAATTATCAACAATAAATCCATTTGGTCGTTCATACGCTTTATTATTATTTCTTCGACGACAATGAACACAGCAATTTTCTTCAATTGTAGTTTCTTCTTAGTAACTTTTTGGAAATTTTTTTTAATATTTCCCATTAATTAAACACCAATCTCCACAAGGTCCGTGAATATTATTTTGCATTATTATTTTATGTAAAATTAGATTGATATTTTCATTAGGAATTTCTGCAGAAATATAACGATCAACACTTTCAACTGTTAATATTTTATAATTTTCTTTCAATATAACTAACAAATGAATGTGTGGCAATCCTCGCTTTTGAAATTCAATAACATAAACATAAGATTTGACTTCTCCAAATAATTTATTATCAACAATAGGTTTAAGTAGATGTTTAACTTTTAATGGGATAACCCTAGTAACTATATCAGTACTATCAGCAGCAGTTTGATAGGAGAATAAATTTTCCTGTATCTCTTTCTAATTTGGATTACATGTCATTGTGATATATAAATCTGGTCTACCATGACGAGCAACAATAGCCATCGAATCGTGATATTGTTGCATCATATTGCGAGGTGATCCTATAAAAGTAGAAGGCAATATAAGCGTTTTTCACACGTGTACATCATTTTCCAACACATGATTGTGTAAATAATCCATCAGTCCTTTATATCTTTCACTTCTCACTTGAGCTTGATTATTTGCACAAAATCTTAATCTATCTTTTTCTATTTTTACATCATTTTCAACCACCCATTGTTGAAACAATCTACCTCCATATAAAAATTGATTAAATTCTTTATCTCTTACAGCAATTTTGTATTTAATGTAGGCAGACCTAGAAATAGTATGATTTTTAATTCTGTAATCACTATCACTACGAATCATATTAATATTACAACCCTTATTTCCAAATGGATAAAATTTGGGATAAATCCATGGTTCAACATTCGGATCTAAATTACTAACCAATTTTAATTCCTTTGTACATTTATTATAAACCGTTTCATAAGATTCTGGTATTTCTCCTTTAGAGTTTGTATTAAAAATTGCAGCAACTGCATTACAACTTTAAGAATTGTATCTATTTGTATCAAAGCTTTTTTTCAACGTGAACAATAATTGTAACTCAGGAATTTCTTCATTATTTGTCTTGCTAATTCAGCTTCTTTTTGAATTACATCTGACATCATCATGTAAGATTTTGTGTATGCATTAGAATTTCTCATAATATTTTTTATAGATTTTAAACCGTCTTCATCCAAATTTTCCTTACTTTTTAGTCTGTATCTGATTGATTCCTCAGGGTCATAAATAAATAATTGTCCAAAACATGGATCCTCACCTTTATCCGGATATAAACCACTATTAATTTGATAGTAAATCTGACCTTGAATTTTGTAACAGAATGGTCCTCTTCTTCTGCCATTAAAATTAATTACATAAGCATTTAAAGATGAAAAAAAAGAATTATAATACAGCCTTATATTCTTTTTAAAATGACCTGATTTTTTATAAAACCCTTCTAACAAAAGCCTGAATTCATCTGGATATTGTATTAAAGTTAACACAACACCTCCATGACTACAGCAGTCATTAAAACTAACTTTTTTACCAGTAACTTTTTCATCTTTAAAATGTTTAGCTTGACAATGTGTGCAGTAATTATTTATCGGACCTAGATAATTTTCAACATTTAACACATTTTGAATTTGATGCTTTAATACTCCTTCACAATAATTTCTTTGACATCGAGTATTCTTTGTTTTTGACAAAGAACTTGTATCACTATTTTTATTTTTTAATTTAAGGTTCTTAGCATATTCTATTTAGGATTCGACTTGAAGTTTTTTCTTAGTTAAAGTGTGTTTTTCACTTAATAATTTACGTTATCAATTGTACGTTTTAATTTTTGCCTCTCACGATAATTTTTTTGAATTTCAGCCCTACTTTCTTTAAGTGTTTTTGATGCAATATTTCTTTCTTTATTTCATTTATAATTCTCGGGAAAGAAATGGATGTGTATGCTTCCTCTGAATAATTTTTATTATCAATTTTACGTTTTAATTTTTGCCTCTCACGATAACTTTTTTAAATTTCAGCCCTACTTTGTTTAAGTGTTGTTGATGCAATATTTCCTTTATTTATTTCATTTATTATTCTCGAGAAAGAAATTTCTTTCTTAATAGAGTTTTTAGAAAAGTTTGATTTTCCATACTGAAGTTGAATATCTTTTTCATTTAAAGGCAATTTCAGTCATACACAACAAGATCTACTATTAGAAAGTTGTACAGAGGAAAATTTACATAAACTATTGTTTTCGAACATTAACATTAAATAATTTCTAATATTACAATAATAGTAATTGACAGAGTGGGCAGAATTTTAAAAACCAACGATGTTGCAAATGCTATTGCATATACTCCATAAGAAAGACTGTATTCTGGTTGTTGATCAACAGTTGTGAAAACTACTGGTGGTTCAAAAGGATATGATCTAATTAAATAATCTCTTTGATCATGATTTAAACATTTTTTATTAAGACTATCAAAAATGTAAAGGCTTATTCCATCATAATAAGTACAAATCCAATGACCAGATTTATAAGATCCACTAAAAAGTATTTGAATGTGCTGCTTACTTTTCTCGATTGGAACTATCAAATCAATTGGTTGTAACCCAAATTTTATTTTGCATATTATAAAAAAAATTTGATTGTCTTCCCAATAGCTTTTAAAATTCATACATATGATCATTATTTAGCATTGCTCCTTCAGTGACAACAATACTTAAATCATGAGTGGTCAAATTAACAGTTTCTCCTTTGTTAGACATTGTTCTTTTATTTTATAAAATTTACTTATATCAAGGAATTATAATTTTAAAAATAGTAATATTACATTAGAATTTTAACATCAAGTTTTATACATTTAATTATAAATTTTATAATTTCCTTTTATCCAATGTTACCAAATTTTGCCTCTTATAGAAAATAACTTATAAATAATCAATGTCCAATTTACCCTAATTTTCATCCAATTTAACTAATTTCCAATTTTGTGTCTTATCCAATATTTAACCAATTTACAAAATTTTCCTTTTCTTCAATTTAACCAACTTTCAGCTTTGTTTTTATCCAATATAAATAATTTACAATTTTTCCTTTTATCCAATTTAACCAATTTCCAGCTTTGTTTTTATCCAATATAACCAATTTCCAATTTTACCTTTTATCCAATTTCCAGCTTTGTTTTTATCCAATAGAACCAATTTCCAATTTTGCTTTTCATCCAATATAACCAATTTCTAATTTTGTCTCTTATCCAATATTTAACCAATTTACAATTTTTCCTTTTATCCAATTTAACCAACTTCCAGCTTTGTTTTTATCCAAAATAAATAATTTACTATTTTTCCTTTTATCCAATTTAATCAATTTCCAACTTTGTTTTTATCCAATATAACCAATTTCAAATTTTTCCAATAATTTTTCCTATTTTTTTTATCCAATAGAATCAATTTCCAAGTTAACCAATTTCTAATTTTGCCTTTTATCCAATATAACCAAATTCCAATTTTTTTTTTATCCAATTTAACCAATTTCCAGCTTTGTTTTTATCCAATAGAACCAATTTCCAATTTTGCCTTTTATCAAATATAACCAATTTCTAATTTTGCCTTCTATCCAATTACAGACGATTTCCAAATTATAACAAAATTTTTAATTTATTAATAAACATTAAAAAAATTATAACAAATTTTTTAACTTTATTATTAATTAACATCAAAAACAAAACACAACTCAATTAATTATTTAATGATTGAAAAAATTTAGATAGCAGTATCTTAATGTAATTCTATTATTATTTACTATTCACTTATTATCACTAATTATATTCACTAATACTTACTATTCACTAAATCACTATTTACTAATTCACGAAGTATTCACGAAGTATTCACTTATTTAACTTTTAGTACAGTCAATTTGGCATTTTTGATGGAAAAAAATACCTTACTTGAGATTATTTTATAAATCGTTAGTGGTATATGTGACTAGCTTAAAACCAAAAAGTTGGGACTCAAAAATTTCTCAAAATTTCTTTGGATTCGATTTTGTGCAAAAACCGTAAGTCTTACTAAAAAATTTCTCAAACAAAAGTTGTAGAGAACATATTTCTCTACATTTTATCTCATTGGGCCACTACTGTTAAACTTATGTGCGAAAGCTAGAGGGCGCCAAAATTACTAAGAATCAGTTTTTCCCCTTTTTCGTACCAAAAAAATCATTTTTGCGTTTTGGTGTAAATAGAAAAGTTGTAGAGCTCAAAAAAACCTACAAAATTTATATACATAATTTTTTTCCACGTTGCACTCTTTCGGAGTTACAGGCTATTTATTAATTGTTACGTATAGGTAATACATATAATTGGCGGGAATGGAATGACCGAAGTTCTATTTATTGTTCTCGAGGTTTGTGATTATAGCAAAATGTTAAATTTTGTTTACTATTTTAGCGGAAAAAAATGTTTTATTGAAAAAATGACAGTTATTTGAAAATCATCTATATATTATAAATAGTAGTTCAGTAACGTTCGCGTTGAAACCGGGCGAGTGTAAAGACGAGTTCGTAGATCATTGTTCAAAGGAAAAAACGAGGTCCACCCTTGATTATACAATACTTTATGTCATATATGCTAAAATCGTAAAGTCATCCTAACCTAAAAATTTCGACTGAATCGTAAATTTTCGAAAAGAATGCACAATTAATAATCTAATCAAAATTTTAAAGTTGGGATGACTTCACGATTTTGAACAATGTTCTACGAACGTTACTAAACTGCGCTTTACACCCTTGGTGCATAATACACTATTATGTCAGCGTTATATTTATATTTATAATATATGGATGATTTTCAAATAACTGCCATTTTTTATTAAAACACTTTTTTCCGCTAAAATAGTAAACAAAATTTAACATTTTGCTGTAATCACAAACCTCGAGAACAATAAATAGAACTTCGGTCATTCCATTCCCGCCAATTATATGTATTACCTATAAGTAACAATTAATAAATAGCCTGTAACTCCAAAAGAGTGCAACGTGAAAAAAAATTATGTATATAAATTTTGTAGGTTTTTTTGAGTTCTACAACTTTTCTATTTACACCAAAACGCAAAAATGGTTTTTTACACATATTCGTCAAAAGAATTCAGTTATTTAAAAATTTATAGATAAAAGTCTTTATAAGAATTCAATTTTAAGAAACACGCAATTATTCAATAAATTGTTTTTTTTGTATTTAAATAATTGAATCCTAATCGAATTTTCTCATAAACATTGATTTAAAAATGGATTTCTGTTAAAATTTTAGATTATAATTGAATTTTAAAAGCATTAGAGGGTAAATTGTTAGAAATAATTGAATTTTGAAAAAGTTTCAGATTAAAATCTTGGAAAATTTAAATTTTTCATATTTTTAACTAACAATTCTGTGGAATTAATTTTTGTTGAGAAACTTTAATTGCGGATTTTTTTGAAATTATTTAAAGTTATATTTATTTATTTAAAGTTATATATATATATATATATATATATATATATTTAATTGAAGAATTTACAAATAATTGAAATTTTGTAAAATAAAATTGTAAACAAATGAATTATAAAATTCTTATAGAACTTTTTAAAAAATTATTAAAAATAATGGATTTATAGAAAATGTTTAGTTGAAAAAACTAAAAAAAATTAATTTTGGAAAAGTTAAAAATTATTGCAAAAATTCAATTATTTTCAAGAGTAATAATATTCTTCGCAAAAATTAAATATTGTTCAAAAGTAATAAAATTCTTCTTAGGGATTCAATTATTTTCACAAATAACAAAACTGATTGCAGAATTTCAATTATTTTTAATACAATTTTAATCAAATTTCTCGAAAAATTTAATTATTCAAAATTTTATTATAATTTGTTGATATTCAATTATTTTAAAATTTGTTAATAAAATTCCTTATAGAAAATGAATTGTAAGAATCATTTAAATTGTTTAATAAATTATTTATTTTTGTATTTAAATAATTGAATTCTAGTAAAATTTTTTTATAAAAATTAATTTCAGTTGAAATAAATTTTTTTTTGAAAGTTTAATTGAATTTTTTTAATATTATTTTAAGTTTTTATTTTCTAATATTTATTTAATTGAAGAATTTACGAATAATTGAAATTTCTTAAAATTAAATATTAAAAACAAATGGATTTGAAAATTGTCAAAGAACTTTTTTGAAAATTATTAAAAATAATCGATTCAAAGATGAATTTTAGTTAAAAATAATCGATTAAAAGAAGAATTTTAGTTAAAAATGCTTGTAAATAATATTTGATTTGTAAATGATTTTATCACTCGGTCATATTTAATTATTATAAAACATGAAGAAATCGATCACTCCGAGTCTTCGACTCGGAGTTATCGATATCTTCATGTTTTATAGTTATGGAAAATTTAATTTAGTTTTAAGTAAAATGTTCTCTTATTTGACTTGGACTGGTTATATTTTTGTCAGCAATTGTTCCGTAAAGGGTCCGTTAATTTTTCATTTTTGGTACTTAAAGTCCGTATTTTTAAATACTTTTACTGGTTCGAGCCCTGGTGTCCTGTTTATTTTTGAAATATTAGATAAATTAAGACAAGACATTTTTATTCTCAAAAAGTTTGAAAATTATAATTTTGGATCAATTAATTTGACAAAATTACAAAATTAGTTCTGTAAAGACGAATCTAATTTATTTTTATCAAAAAAATAAAAAAAATAACAGCAATGAAACCTCAAAAACAAAATTTTTAATTTAGGGTAAAATTTGTTATGAAACAAAGAAGTTATTTCTTTTAAAGTAAAATTTTGAAAACACTGTAAAAAAGAAACATTCTGCAGAAAAATTTTAACGTTATCTATTTTTGTTTCCTTCTCGCTAACAAAAACTCATTGCTGTAAAAGTAATTATGAAAGAAATGACCTTATAATATTCTTGGTGGAATTGCCATTTTAAGAGAATCATGTGAGGGAATGGTGTGGGCTGGGGGAGGGGGCTTAAGGGAAAAAGGTGGAAATTAATGAAGAAGAAAGTGAGTAATTTAGAAAAAAAAGAGAAAAAGGAAAACGAGGAGAAAAATAATAAAAAAAAAAGAAAGATATATTCAAGGAGGTCAAAGAGAGGAATCTTCTTTTATGACCTCTTTTATGTTTCAGCGAAGAAACATGACTATTACTTCTCTAGTGGTGGTTAGAGTGACTGTAAGTGAGTTTCCCACAGGAAATCGAGCTTCTTCAAGAAGCTCATACTTGGGGGGTATGAAAAAAAAGCGAAGTGCTCAGCGAAACCGGATGTGGTCAATATCGTATCGTAGTGCAATCAAGATCTCATATTTTTACTAAAAAATGAAAAATAAAATAAAACATGTTTATGCGTCGAAAGAAGGAAAAATATTTTCTTTTTCTGTAATAATTTATATATATTTCACAGTTTCTTATATTTATATTTCTCGCATATAATAATCAACCAATAACTAGTCTCATAATTGTTTGAATTGGTTTTATTATTATTATTTTTTTATTACTTTCTTCATTGTTTACTTCTCTTAAAAGCATTTTTTAATTTTCTCTCTTGCTTTTGTTATTAAATGGCCAATTTAAAAAATTTACGGTTCGTATTTTCTCCTTAAAGTTATTTTCTTTATGAATATACAGTAAAACCCCGTTTTAGTGGATTTTGTCGCTAACTAATAGTATAGAGAGTAAAAATTACATCTTTTCCTCTGAATTTTTAAAACAAATTACACTCTTAATATGTAATAATATTACTTGTTTAATTTTAAAAATGACTAAGTTATTTATTTTTAATATACTCTAATTTATTAAATTTAAGAAATAACTAATTTGTTTAATTTAGACAATTGCTAATTTATTTAATTAAAAAACTGTAATTAAAGTTTTGATTCTATTTATCAAATTCACTTATTAACAAATTTATTTGTGAAATTAATTTTAGAATAATTTTATATAATTAAGTTCGTTCGCAAATTTTAAATTAGTAGGTAGGTACAATTTTTTACGATTTTCATAAGTAGATGAACTTCAAAAGATTTTGATTTAATATTTTGTAAAATTTCAATTTTAAATGAATTTAATTAAAAATATAAAAAAAACTAAGATTTAAAAAAAAATTTTTAAACTAAAATTCTTTTGAAATTAGTCAAATTTTTTAATATATACCCGTGTAGAAAAATTGTTGGGTTCTAGTGTGGTGCCAGAAAGACAGTCTATTCTCTAACTGGGCGCTGAAAAGACTGACCATGGGCTAATCAGACCAGTGACGATCGAACCACGCGTTGGTCCAGACTGGACGAGCTAATCAGGGCTAATGAGCAGTGCTAATATTTAAAATTTTAGGTTCGATTTCAATATTTCAGTTTTTTAATTTTAAATAATTTACCCAAATTTACTCGGTTCTCACGTTTATTCAATGTAATGTGAAAATATGAATTATTAATAATGTATGATTTGTGCTGGTTTAAAATAATTTGTGTTTTGTTTTTATATTTTTACAATATAAGATTTATTCTTTATCATGAAACATTTTTGACTACACAATTAAAATTTAATCTAGCTTTACAGACTGCCGTATATATAAGTGTTTCGTTTAAGAGTTATTTTTGCATTGAGAAACTTGTCTCTTAAGTGCAGAATTATCGTTTTTCCTAAACCTAAATTTTAAAGAGTGGGAGTGATTTTTTACCCCCACTTGCAGATTGAGGATTGAGGGAGGATTCAAAGACCGCCTCCAAAGGACAATAGACCTCACTCTTGAAGACCTAGAGAGAAATTTTACAATTATTGCGGTCTAACTGACCTGCGAACGTGTTTACATCGGTTATTTTCGGATGATAATAAAATCATTAACACTAAACATAAATGTCAAAGTATTGAAATTTTCTTCTTCTTTATCAAAAAATACACAACTTGATCTATTATGAAGGCCAAAAACTATTCAATATATGTTCCTTTTTCCTTTTCTCTAAAGTACTTAAGAGACACAATAAGCTACCTCTATTAAAGTAATAATTCAAAATTTTGGGTTTTTCCACGACAAATTGTTACGCAGTAACATGCCGGCCCCTTTGAACGGCCAATGTTCAATTAACTCACATCACCTCACTTTAAAGTTTGTATTGTCTTTAATCTATTGGCAAAGGACACACATGTTTTAATGCCCGCTTGTAAACACCTGATTTTGTTTTTATTGTCACAGCCCTCACTATTCCATCAGATCCTCGGTGAATCATGACAACACGTCCAAGAGGCCACTTCATTGGTGGTAGATCGTCCTCTTTGGACAAGATGAGTATTCCTGGTTGTATAGCACTTTGTTCAGTCGCAGATTGCCATTTACTCCTACAAATTAACTCGTTCAGGTATTCTTTATGCCATCGGTCCCAGAAGTGATGACGCATTTTTTGAGCAAGTTGCCAACAGTTCAGTCGATGCTCTGGAATGTTGCGGAGATCCTCTTGTGGCAAGCTTGTTAGAGAACCACCCAAGAGGAAATGTGCGGGTGTTAAAAGATTAAGATCATTAGGATCAGTCAAGAGAGGAGTCAAAGGTCTGGAATTTAAAATTGACTCAATTTCTGTTACATATGTGTGAAGTTGCTCATAAGTCAGGAGAGAATTTTCTGTGACTCGGACGAAGTGAAATTTAAACGATTTTACTGCAGCCTCCCAAAGTCCCCCAAAATGAGGAGCCCGAGGAGGAATGAAATGCCAAGAAACCGATTTGTTAGAGAGATATTCTTTAGTTCTTTCATCTATTATTACTGTATTAATTGTTTTGAACAGTTCCTTGATTTCATTATTTGTTCCAACAAAGTTTGTGGCATTATCAGAGTGAATGGATTGAGAAATTCCACGTCGAGCAAAAAATCTTTTTAAACATGCTAGAAATGCTTCTGTTGTTAAATCACTAGCTAGTTCTAAATGAACCGCCTTGGTAGCAAAGCAAACGAACACCGCAACTTAAGTTTTGACCTTTGTTCTATTTCTGTGTCTATGTTCCTTTGTAAAGAACGGACCACAAAAATCAACTCCAACATTGAGAAACGGACGAAAAAATGTTAAACGATTTTTAGATAAATTTCCCATTAAATATTGAGGTTCGCGAGGTTTTGCACGAAAACAATTTATGCACTGTCGGACAATATGTCGTGTTAAGTTACGACCATCGATGGGCCAGTAGGTTTCGCGAACGCCGCATAGAGTCGAATTAACTCCTGCATGTAAACGTTTCATATGCTCGTTTTTAATTATTAATTTTGTAATATGATGATCCTTTGGTAAAACGATTGGATGCTTTTTAGATTCGGGAAGGTCCGCGAGATTTAGACGCCCTCCCACTTTAAGAACACCTTGGTCAAGAAATGGGTTTAAAAAGATAAGTTTACTGTCTTTAGAGATTTGTTGATTTTTTGAAAGAGAACGTTTTTCGCTTGAGAATGATTCTGCTTGAATTAATTTAATAATTTGACTCTTTGCTGAGTTAATTTCATTTTCGGATAAATTTGTTTTGAGTTGAGAATTTTCAACCTTGTTTTTCGCGTTTGATATAAAACGTAAACAATACGCAACTATTCTAACTGTTTTTTGCCAGCTGCTGTATTTTGTTAACATATCAACTTTACCTTGTGTTAATTTAAATGAAAAAACTGCCTTTACTTTACGAAGACCAGAAATTTCATTTACTTGTATATCCCTTTGAGGCCAATTCTTGTCATTTAATTGCAACCATGAGGGACCATTTTTCCAATCACGATTGTGAATGAATTCACGAGGACTTAATCCGCGTGATAACATATCAGAAGGATTGCTTTCCGTGGGTACATGTCGCCAATTTTCAGCCTTTGTCAAAGTTTGTATTTTAGAAACGCGATTTGCAAGAAACGCTTCTAGCAAATGGGGAGAGGTATTGATCCAGCTTAACGCTATCATTGAATCAGACCAAAAAAAGGTCTCTGAAATTTGAATTTTTAAGCATTTCATTGTAGTTTCATAGATTTCTGCTAATAGAAGAGCTGAACACAATTCTAACCTAGGCAAGGATGTAGATTTGAGTGGTGCGACTCGAGATTGAGAACAGATTAATGATACTTGTGTATCATCATTGTCATTGGTTGAGCGAAGATAAAGACACGCCCCATATGCCTTCTCACTGGCATCACAGAAGCCGTGTACTTGAATATCTGTGAAATTCTCGACAGTGATACATCTTTTAAATCGAATATCATTGAGATAACTTAATTGGTCTACATATTCTTTCCATATAATTTGTAAATCTTTAGGAAGAGGTTCATCCCATTCTAAATTAAGTTTCCATAATTGTTGAATTAATAACTTTCCAACAACAATTACTGGACCTAAAATTCCTAACGGGTCGTATAATTTAGCGCATTTCGAAAGAACAGATATTTTGGTTGCAATTTCATTTGTATTTTCTAAATTAACAATGTATAAAAATTCATCTGATGTTGGATTCCAACGCAAACCTAATGTTTTCACAACATTTGAAGGATCTAACGACATGTGTTCATCACTAATATTACCTACAAAATTTTCACATAAACAAGGGTCATTAGAAACCCATTTTCTCAATGTGAAACCACCTTTTGATAATAAAGTAATTAATTCGTTTCTAATGTCTAGTGCGTCTTGTAGAGTTTTCGCGCTCGATAAAAAATCATCAACGTAAAAATCATTCTTTAAAAAGTGTGCAGCTATAGGAAATTCCCTTTGTTCGTCATCCGCGAGTTGATGAAGGGTGCGTATTGCGAGATAAGAAGCACATGCGGTACCGAAAGTTAGTCCAATACTCCAGTTTTCTCAGTGCAATATATTCTCATTTCATGTCCGCACGTGAGACCTACAAATTTAAAAAAAATTCATCTCTAAAGCTCTTAATGGTCTCGAGATATATTTATATGGAAAAGTAATGTTTACATTCACAAACATATGGAATGCCGTTTTTTAGAAAATGGGATTTTTGAGTTCGTGAGGTCAACAAACATACGATATGCCAAAAAATCGAGTTTGAAGTAAAATATGCAATAATCCTACATGTTAAATGATTTTAAATAAAAGGTAATTAATTTAGTATTTTTATCGCGATTTTACGATAGTAAGATAAAGTGCGCAGTGGAATATTAAAAGTATTCGGCATGAACATAAATAATTGGAATGCCACTCGATGTCGAAGATGCTCCTGATATTGGATGCGGTAATAACAGTTATAATGATAGTAATAGCAACGCCTGTTCCAAACCTGATATCGAAATGTTATCGGTTATAAAATAGAACACGTGAAATTCAATACATTTTTTGCGAAATCTTTTTCAGAACTACATTTATTTCTATGTATATTATATTTATAAGCGACCCAGGTGCGAATTTAGGTTGGCCGCCAGAGTTTGAAGGTTGGCCCAAGGTTGGCCTAACTTTGGCAAGCAAAGTTTTGGTTGCCAGAGTTTGCCCACCTTTGGCACGTACTTGTGCCCACAGTTGGCCCGACTTTGCAAGCCAACCATAAAATGCAGAGTTTAACCAACCGTCGGGCCAACTTTGGCGACAAAGGTTGGCACAACTTATCCAAACGTAGTTTAAAAGACTTTCAGTTTCGGTTGGCCGAACTCTGGGCCACGGTTGGCCCAACGGTTGGCAAAACTATGTGAAACACAGTTTAATTGACTTACATTATTTTGGTTGGCCGAACTCTGGGCCACGGTTGGCCCGACGGTTGGCAAAACTATGTGAAACGCAGTTTAATTGACTTAAACTTTCTTGGTTGGCCGAACTCTGGGCCACGGCTGGCCCAACGGTTGGCAAAACTCTGTGAAACGCAGTTTAATTGACTTGATTTTTCTTGGTTGGCCGAACTCTGGGCAACGGTTGGCCCAACGGTTGGCAAAACTCTAGAAACGCAGTTTAAATGACTTAAACTTTCTTGGTTGGCCGAACTCTGGGCCACGGTTGGCCCAACGGTTGGCAAAACTCTGTGAAACGCAGTTTAATTGACTTGATTTTTCTTGGTTGGCCGAACTCTGGGCCACGGTTGGCCCGACGGTGGGCAAAACTTTGTGAAACGCCGTTTAATTGACTTGATTTTTCTTGGTTGGCCGAACTCTGGGCAACGGTTGGCCCAACGGTTGGCAAAACTCTGTGAAACGCAGTTTAATTGACTTGATTTTTCTTGGTTGGCCGAACTCTGGGCAACGGTTGGCCCAACGGTTGGCAAAACTATGTGAAACACAGTTTAATTGACTTAAACTTTCTTGGTTGGCCGAACTCTGGGCCACGGTTGGCCCGACTGTTGGCAAAACTCTGTGAAACGCAGTTTAATTGACTTAAATTTTCTTGGTTGGCCGAACTCTGGGCCACGGTTGGCCCGACGGTGGGCAAAACTTTGTGAAACGCCGTTTAATTGACTTGATTTTTCTTGGTTGGCCGTACTCTGGGCAACGGTTGGCCCAACGGTTGGCAAAACTCTAGAAACGCAGTTTAAATGACTAACACTTTTTTGGTTGGCCGAACTCTGGGCCACGGTTGGCCCGACGGTGGGCAAAACTTTGTGAAACGCAGTTTAATTGACTTGATTTTTTTTGGTTGGCCGAACTCTGGGCCACGGTTGGCCCAACGGTTGGCAAACTATGTGAAACGCAGTTTAATTGACTTAAACTTTCTTGGTTGGCCGAACTCTGGGCCACGGTTTGCCCAACGGTTGGCAAAACTCTGTGAAACGCAATTTAATTGACTTGATTTTTCTTGGTTGGCCGAACTCTGGGCCACGGTTGGCCCAACGGTTGGCAAACTATGTGAAACGCAGTTTAATTGACTTAAACTTTCTTGGTTGGCCGAACTCTGGGCCACGGTTTGCCCAACGGTTGGCAAAACTCTGTGAAACGCAATTTAATTGACTTGATTTTTCTTGGTTGGCCGAACTCTGGGCAACGGTTGGCAAAACTCTAGAAACGCATTTTAAATGACTTAAACTTTCTTGGTTGGCCGAACTCTGGGCCACGGTTGGCCCAACGGTTGGCAAAACTCTGTGAAACGCAGTTTAATTGACTTGATTTTCCTTGGTTGGCCGAACTCTGGGCAACGGTTGGCAAAACTCTAGAAACGCAGTTTAAATGACTTAAACTTTCTTGGTTGGCCGAACTCTGGGCCACGGTTGGCCCGACGGTTGGCAAAACTATGTGAAACGCAGTTTAATTGACTTACATTATTTTGGTCGGCCGAACTCTGGGCCACGGTTGGCCCAACGGTTGGCAAAACTTTGTCAAATGCAGTTTAAATGACTTAAACTTTCTTGGTCGGCCGAACTCTGGGCCACGGTTGGCCCGACTGTTGCAGCTTAAATATACATTTTGCGTTATGCACTCCCATGTGAGCGTAGCGTAGTGGTCAGTGTATAAGTCTTCGATGCGTTAGGTTAGGGGTTCGATCCCAGCGAGCGATAGATATTTTCGAAAATGTATGTATGAGATTGTGTTTAATAATAATAGGTAAAGGTTATATCTGATGTTCCCGCTAATAATAACGTGTTAATTGTTTAAATAATTTAGTTTTTTAATAATTTTTTACCTTTGGCTGTTGAAGTTGGCCAAACTTTGAAAATTGTGGTTGGCGCAACTTACGCATCTAAAGTTGTGCCAACTTTGGCGTCAGTCTTTGGACCAACCATTGAAATGTATAGTTGGCACAACATATGCATTGTAAGTTGGGCCAACTTCCTTATGAGTTGTCGGGCCAACCATCGTCGCCATTAGACGGTCGCCGTTATCATCTGTATGGTTGGCCCAACCTCTGGCACGAGAAGTTGGACCGACTTTGTAAAAGTTGGCCCAACTATGGGCCGACCAAAAAATCGCACCTGGGGAATTTCATATTCTTTTTGTAGCTTTATTAATTTATTGATTAATATATTATTATTATTATGTTACATTGTAATATAATTTATTACATTATACAACGAAAAGGCTTTATCTAATGTTTCAATCTTTTAATTTAATTTTCAGAATATATTATAAGTTCGTTTTAAACTAGGAACTCATTTTCAAATAAAAAAAAGTCGAATTAAGATTCTTTAAGAAAAGGGCAGATATTCTTGTCACTTGTTATTTAGGGGTCTATTAGGTCGTTCATGATAAATTTGACATTGTTTATCATTTTTTAACAAAATTTTTTTAACATTAACGCCCAAATATTTAAAATTTATTGTCAAACTTTGTGACAAAATGTTGTAACATTTTGTTGTAAATAAATAAATAAAATAAAATGTTGTAACATTTTGTCACGAAGTAATTGACACTAAATTTTAAATATTTGGACGTTAATGTTAAAAAAAATTTTTTTATTTCAGAAGACACAAAAAATGACTTCTAAAAATATAAAAACCGATGGATATTTATTTTTAAAAGAATTTATGTGTTTCGCAGTTAATTAATTAATTTAATATTAAAAAATAAAATATGAAATATATTAAATATTTCCGTTTTTGTATGAAATGTCAAAAATCTATCGTATTTAACAATTTTTTTCTGCAAAGTAATTTAATTTCCTATTAAATCAGAATTATTGGAATATTAACTATTTTTATCACACTTTAATATTATCTAAATACTTTAATGCATTTACTTGCTTAGAAATATAAAAATTTTTACCTTAAAAGTTGATCATCTAAAGAAATTATGGAAAAACTAAAGAATTTAGCAAGGGAGAAATTTTTTAGTAATCCTGGAATTAAAAAAATGTACCAAGTGGTAATTTTGTTTTGAAAATGAAAAAATATTTTCTTTTGAAGAAAAATTTATCTAATTGCTCTTCAATTCTTTTGTCGAGAGCGGGAGAGAGAGAGAGAAAGAGAGAGTTATTTTTCTTCAATTTCTACTCAAGCAAGAAAGTTTACTCCTCCAACTTTATTTTTAAAGTTCATCGCACGCGAATTCCACAAAATGGAAGAAAATACAATTTATTATATTAAAGAGGGCAAATGGTATATTTTCAACTTTTTTAGAGACGAAGAAAATTTAATTCACTGCGTTATATTGAAAATTTGAAAGGTGGAATATAATTTTTGTAATTACGATAAAAAAATTAGTTTTTTAAAAATAATGTTGAATTTAATTAAACGTACCTACACGTTAAAATTATTTTCCGTACAAAATTTAAATTTCTTTCTGGTAAAATTGAAATATTAATTTATACGATTAAGTGGAAAAGAGAAAGAGAGAGAGAGAGAGAGAGAAAGGGAAAATTATAAAAGTTCGTGGTTAAAATTTTTTTTGATATTAACGTCACTCACCAATTTGACTTTAATAATAAAATTTGATTTCCTTTCATATTCGTGCTGGAAGTTTCAAAATATAATAATTTTATAATAATATAATAATTTCAGTCTGTGATAATATTTTCGAGAACTATGTATTTAAATTAGTTTTCAGTGACTAATGAAGGCTTTGCTCACATTGTGTACTGAACTGAGAGAACGATAAGACTGTTCAACCGAAACAACCCAGGCGCGAAAGACCAATGCTGACGATGGATTGAA